ATTCCTTGTTTTTTTCTCACTAGCTACGTGACCGCCTCAATGGTAATATTGCTGGCAAAGGGACTGCAGAAAGTCACAGTCAGCCGCCAGGGAAGTGCAACAACACAACAAGCATCAGATTTGGGGAACTCGCTATGTGCAAACATGGCAAGTAGATTCCTCAGAATGGAATATAACCACACCCTTGGAGATGCTACGGCACTTGACCCAAGATTCAAAAAGGTGGCATTCGGGGATGCCAGAGCTGCAGATGAGGCTTTCCAGAGAATAGCAACTGCAGCAGGAAGAGTCACTCTCAGCAGCAGCGAACCCAGCCAGCAACCAGATCAACAGGAAGGAGCAGGCAGTGCTGCAGAAGGATCAGTTGTTTGGAGGTATTTCCATGACCGTGTCGCTGGTGCAGTGTCAACAAGGAATCCCACAGCAGATGCCATCATGGAGGTGCGGTCTTACCTAGAGGAGCCTCTTCTTCCAAAATCCTCAGATCCTCTTAAGTGGTGGGAAAGTCGAGCCACCTTATACCCCAGGCTCACCAAGCTCATGGCTGAAAGGCTTTGCATTGTGGCAACGTCAGTTCCGTCAGAGAGAATATTCTCGAAGACTGGACAAATAGTATCAGAGAGGAGAAATCGCCTTAAGCCCTCAAAAGTGAGGGAACTTGTTTTCCTTAATGCAAATTTGCCATAGATGATGGCATAATGCATGCTCAAGCAGCAAGCAGGCCATAGGCCAGGAGCAGCTCATCTCCTGTTTTTGACAAAGCAGCTCACAGATTTTTCTCTATTTTATTTTACTCTGTTTTTATAATACTTTAAATATTGTTCAGAAGTAGTTTTCCTATTTATTCCTAAATGTTTTTGGTGTTGTTCGATTTGCAATAAAATATGTTTTGCACAAAAGTTTATTGTAAATTGTATATTGCCAATAAAAAGTGTTCTAATATTAAGAGTTGCGTGAATTTCATTCAAGGCAAGGCAACTTTATTTACTTAACACATACAGAGGGTAAATTCAAAGTAATACATTCACTGACATGAATGACATGGATATGGCGCCACCTTGTGTCGTGTTTACAATGCAGATTATTGACATTAGGTCTGGCAAATGGCAATACAGTCAATCATTATCCTGGTGATTATTTCGCAGATAAATCTAGTAACCCTGCCCCCTTTAACAAAACGGCTCTTTAGAACGGCTCTTTTGAACGGCTCTTTGAAAGGAAAGGAGCCATAAGATCCGGCTCCCTTCAAGAGCCATAAATCCCATCACTAGTAGGAAAGATCCTCAGCTCGCTGATTGGATGTTTTAGCCGCAATGCACGTTGGGATATGGTGTTTATGCGATGTGAAATCCGAAACCATTAAAAAAAATAATAATAATACTTTATTCCGAGTGTTCTTGCTTTTCTCTTTGAAAGTCATCACATAACGGCATTGTAATACACGGTTCGGCTGCATTAAATATTACACATCTGCCATAGTTCTTTATTTATAGAGCCCTGATGAGAAGACTTCTGGACAAACAGGAAGAACTGCCGCCGAAACTGAATACGTGACGTGGATCATAAATATATCAACAATTAAACAACATCTTACATTTCTTTTCACAAAATACGTCTCCTTGCAGTATCAATACTAATACGGCTGACTTTTATATTTGATCCAATTGGTAGATAGGTTATATTTACACCATAACGGTGCACAGCTGATAGAAAAGGACTTGTAGTTTTTAAAGATATTACTGATTTTCTTTGAATATAAGAATGTAAATACTGAGTTCAGAGAATAGTCAGGGGATTTGGGTGATGGGAGACACATCTCTGGAATCACAATTTCAATAGCTTACGATTAAATGACGGATATACCTTTCTGTCTTTGATGTTTTACAAATCAGATATTAATGTGTAGAAGTAAACATGAGAAATAATATAGCAATATCCTGTACAATTATGTAAAAACATGAATACAACTACACATCTTCAGATGTTATACATACATAAGTGTCCTACACTAGTAATACAAAGTTATTATTAGTATACTGTGTGTACCTTGTGTGCACCGCCTAGTGGTTAAAGCACGTTATTTAATTATTTTTGTTGAATAATGTTATTTGATGAATAAAATATTAAGAGTACATACTTTCATAGGGGGAAAGTAGAAGGTCAATGATAGAAATATAGAATATAAAAAATCAAGAAGATACTGTAAGTGATCTCTACAATAAAACAGTTTAGTGCCTGATGTACAAAGATATTAATATGAGGATGTGCAAAACAGACAAACTAATTAACCTTTATTAACACATTAAAGAATACTTTAGGTTTTCTTTCAAATAAGAAAAAAGCTTTGGGGGTATCTATCTACAGATAAATATTAAGCCTGACAAAGTACTTAACGTCTAATATATTGCTTTCCTGCAATGTTAACTGTGTTGAAGCACTTATTTTAACTGATATTATATATATATTAATTATACTCTTATGTATGTAGATAGTATAAGACATGTGCAGAATTTGAGTTTAATGGTGGAGGAATACACACATATTGATAGATGTCTTGTAATGCACTGTTGAGGAACCTGTGACCCAAGTTTTTCATTAATTGCATAACTTCAACATAGTTGTGTATATGATATGTCAATAAACCTTAGAAAATCTTGAAAGGGATGTGCAAAATAGCTATTATATACAGTTTTTAATGAACTATTAGTAGAGAATAACGAGTAATGAATATACTTTATAGAGATCTGCAGATAAATGTTTAGTCTTCTCAAGCACCAACTAATATCTCTCCTGATTGTTGGCACTTGACAATCACCTTTCCCTGAATTTTACTCAGGTGTAACTAAAGTCTGCTTTAAGGGTTGTTTATATTTCACATCATTAATCAGAATCTGCAAAGTAACTAAAATAAATGTAGTGGAGTAAAAATACCAGGTTAACCTCTGAATTGTAGTGGAGTAGAATTCCAAAGTAACAATGAGCTGGCATGTGGGTATATATTAATGCTTCCCATTATGGACACAAGCGATTTTCACCCATTTATTAATTACATGTTTTACATTTGTACACACCAATTTGTTTCCTATCCCCTAAACCTCCAGGGCTGTACACAGTTTAATACTGTCAACTTCTAATTTTGGGAAAAACGAAAACGTCTTTTAAAACTACAATTCCCAGTAGAGACGCCATAGAACATGTTGCGAAACACAATAGCCAGCATTTGTAGTTCTGGGGGGGCGTTCGAGTCCAGTTTTGGAAAGTCTGCCGTGGTTTCGTTCCATTTCAAAGAGCTGTTTGGCGCTCGGCGTAACCTTGGCGCACTGCCACTCCAACATCCAATCCCAGAGCTTGAAGATTAATCACGGGGTTTGTCAACGGGACTGTAGTCCCAAACGATAGCTGGGGATTATGGGTAGTGTAGTGTCTTCGGCCATCCTAAACTCTGATTATTTTTTCGGATTTCATATCGCATTAACACCATATCCCGACGTGCATTGCGGCTAAAACATCCAATCAGCGAGCTGATGATCTTTCCTACGTCACTTTACAGCCCTGCCCACTTTTGGGGAAACCAGCTGTCATTTGAACGGCGATCAAGCCTGAAGCCACAGAGCTCTTCTGTTGTATACTGTCCTTTCTTCTTAGAGGAAGTACAGAAACACGTAACTCTGGATTTGTTTTAATGTTTGAGGTGCAATAAACGACACAGCAGCTTTTTGGCATGTTAGAACTATTATTTTCTGCCTCGCAGCTGGCGAAATTACAGCCTCGCCTACTGATTTTAATTTAACCATAGGATATCAAGCCCGATCGTCGATTTCAAATGTGTGCTCTAAAATGATATTAATAAATGACTATTATCATTATTATAAGCTAGAAAAGAAATGTCAAAGATAGGTAGAAAGCAAACGTATTTAAGATATGTTCAGAACAAACGTAACGTGGGACAAAATACGTTTCTTGTTAAACGTAATTGAGAATGCTGTATGAAACGACTACAAACAATATTGTGATTATTAACCATTAACCAGCATAATAACGGATTTGGTCAACTGAAAAGTCAGCCGCCAGCCAGCGCGAAAATAAGTTTGCTCTAAAATGATATTAATAAATTACTATTATCATTATTATAAGCTAGAAAAGAAATGGCAAATATAGGTAGAAAGCAAACGTATTTAAGATACGTTCATAACAAACGTCATGTGGGAGAAAATAGGTTTCTAGAAGATATGTAGAAAATAAACGTATTTAAGATATGTTCATAACAAACGTAACGTGGAAGGAAATACGTTTCTTGCGAAACGTATTTGAGAATGCAGTTTAGTTTTGTGGGAACGTAATTTCTAGGAGACAGGGTTGCACACACACACACGCACGCACGCACGCACGCACGCACGCACGCACACACACACACACACACACACACACACACACACACACACACACACACACACACACACACACACACACACACACCTGCTGTCTTTCTGCTGATACAATCTCGATCTCATACCTGAGTGTTGTCTCACACACACACACACACACACACACACACACACACACACACACACACACACACACACACACACACACACACACACACACACACACACACACACACACCTCGCTTTATACTCTTACATTAGACTCAAAACAAACCCACAGAAGAACAGAAGCTCAATGTTCCCTGTGTGACTTTAAGGTTTCCAACGTGACGCAGGAGTTCCTTCCTGTTCCGGTCGGACCGGTCTGACATCAAACTGCTGCTGCTGGAGAAACGGCTCACCAGCCTCAGGCTCCATTATTGATCTTAGCAAGAGATGCCTTTTTCAGATTGTACAAGTGCAGCTTTTTCAGCTCTGGTTTCATCTGATTTTTCTTAATCCTACAAATAAATAAAATATATATAAAAACATGAAAATATCTTGTTTCAGAAAAATAATTTATATATTTATAATTAAAAAAAGCAAAAGACAGAGATTTTCACTTTTATCCTTTTAGTTCTTTTATTAACAAGAAAAACCCAAACATTACAAAATATACAGACATGTGGCACTCGACCTGTTGGCTTTTCTTATTTATGACTTTTCGTTTTTTCCGTTTTGTTGCATTATTCAAACTTTCATTTATGCATTCAACACATTTAGACTTAGTTACAAATTAAAAACCTTTAGAATCAAATATCTCCAATGAAAGAAGCTCTGGTGCTTTCTCTCTAAAGACTCACTTTACAAGAGAAACAACAACACACAAATACATCAATATCCATATTCAACACATTTTTAAATCATGAACACACGTCTCTGTTAAACACATACAAGACTACAAATACAATTGAACAGAGTAAAAGGCAATCAGAGTATAAGACTATATGTTTTAAATGATTATGTGATAATTTAACACGACACAGAACAACTCATGAGAAGATGTTAAAGCACCTCCCATCATGTTTGATTGACAGCTGATCTCTGTGCAGTGAAGACATGAGCAATCAGCTCTCAGCAACAATGATGGAGACACAGTGAGTTTAAGAAGTAGAAGAGTTCCTCAAATGACTTCAGGCTATTTCAGTTTACAAAACTCAGCTGTGGCTCCATGTTCACAAAACCAAACTCCAGCATGTAGCGGCTGAGTGAATGTGGTCTGCACTCTGTGGAGGAGAGTCATGGTTTCAGAGACGATGCTGTAGAAGGACAGAACACCTGCTCTGTGATCCAGGTACACTCCTACTCTGGAGGACAGAGGACCTGAGACGGGAGTGCTGATACTGTTGTAACGAAATGAATATCTGTTTTGGTTACAATCTAAGGACCAAGATTTGACATTGTTTCCAAATCCACATTCATTCCCTGCTCTGCTGATATTCTTGTATGCGACTGCTACAAAAACTCTTCCCCCTCTCCGCTCCACCTCCCAGTAACAACGTCCAGTCAGACTCTCTCTACTCAGGACCTGAGGATAATAACCAGTGAATCTGTCTGGGTGACTAGAATAAGGTTGTGGTTGTTTCATGCATGTTGCTTTTCTGCTCCCCTCAGATAATACCAGCCGTGTCTCTGCTGTGTTTGGATCCAGAGTGACTTCCTGTGAATATTGTAAGAACCCAGCTCTGGTGGTGGGCTCTGCTGCTGACAGTAAAACATCCACTTCAGTCGGTGAGACGTTTGTCCATTCCTCTCTCAGGACGTCCTGTAGTTTGTCTCTGACTGCTGACAGGGCCGCCGTCACGTCCTCAAAGTAGCTCAGAGGACGGATGTTGATGCTGGATGAGTGTGTAGGTTCACTGAGGGCTGACAGTGAGGGGTAGCTGTGCAGAAACTGGTTGTGATCCTCTGTGTGAGACAGCAGCTTCAGCTCAGCGTCTCTCCTCTTCAGCTCAGAGATCTCCTGCTCCAGCTTCTCCTGAAGCTCTTTGACTCGACTCACTTCTCTCTTCTGCTGGGATCTGACCTGCTGCTTCACATCAGAGCTTCTTTTCTCCATGAGACGGATCAGCTCAGTGAACATCTTCTCACTGTCCTCCACTGCTTTATCAGCAGAGCCATTGACGGCCTCCACCTCCTGCTGAAGCAGCTTCACCTCCTTCTCTCTGTCCTGGATTCTCTGCTGGATGTTTAGTCGACTCCCCTCCAGCTCTCTCTGCCTCTCAGTCCTCTCTGCTGCAGCTAACACTGTGTCGTGGCCTTTGTGTTCGTCCACAGAGCAGATATAACAGATACACTGCTGATCAGTGCGGCAGAACAGCTTCATCACCTCGTCGTGATGAGAGCAGATGTTCTCCTGGAGCTTCTTGGAGGGCTCCACCAGCTTGTGTTTCTTTAATTGAGCTACGTCATAATGAGGCTGGAGGTGTTTCTCACAGTAAGATATAAGACACATAAGACAGGACTTACAGGCTCTCAGTTTCCTCCCAGTGCAGACATCACAGGCCACATCTTCAGCTCCAGCATAGCAGTGATCAGCAGGAGCAGCTTGGAGTCCAGTCTTCTTCAGCTCCTCCACTAAAGCTGCTAACATGGTGCTTTTCAGCAGGACAGGCCTCGGTGTGAAGCTCTGCCTACACTGAGGGCAGCTGTGGATTAACTCTCCATCCCAGTGGTGTTTAATACAGTCCATGCAGTAGCTGTGTCCACAGGGAATAGTCACCGGATCCTTCAGTAGATCCAGACAGATCGCACAAGAGAAGGTTTCCCGGTCCAGCTGAACTCCTTTCTGCGCCATTTCACCTCTCAGTAGCAGCGAGTGTCTGAGTTTCACTTCCTGAGAGCTGAAACTATGAGAGCTGTGATCTGAACAGGATGTGTGTTTGCAGTGAATGTGGCCTATCAGCTCTTGGACTTTACCCTTGGTTACACCCATCCTCCTCAGTGTGGATCTGAAGGGGAGGAGCCAGGAAGTACAGAGTGGAGCTGGCTGTGTCTGAGAGCAGGAAGGAGAGGGAGGGCTTATCAAACTCTGACTCATTGTGTCTGGGTGTTTCTCAATGTCGAGGAAGGCTCCTCCATAGCCACTATTACAAGGATGCTACGTCATCGAATCCCGCCGAAGGACTGTTCCAATGTCCAGGATCCTTGGAATTCTACCGAGGACTGAATCCTTCGTTGCGGGAAATTTGGAGGATGCACCAGTGTATCCTCCGCGGTCTTAAAATCCCCACAATGCTTTGCGCACAGACCAATTTCCAAAATCTTTGGTGGAAAATGTAAGGCGGGGCCTGTCATATGACGCACACCTGCACACTTGCTAGCCTGTTCCATTCTTCGTTCTCCGAATGCCAGGAAGGATGCTTGCCTAGCCTCTGATGGACCTGACTCGGAAGACATGTCCTACCAAGGAAGCGTCCTCGACATTGAGAAACACCCTCTGAGAGCAGGAAGAAGAGGGAGGGCTTATCAAACTCTGAGTCATTCCAGGAGGAGCAGACACTCTGACCTGTTTCCTCATTTACAAACGGAGCCTCGCTCACAACCTGCTCTACATTTGTCTGTTTATCTGTTTTATTGTGTTGCACTGTTGGAGGAACCTTTGACCTAAGATTGTCATAGTCATAACTACACTGTAGCTATGTTCGTATGACAAATAAAACCCTTGAACCTTGAACCTTGAAAACAGTCTTCAGCTGTAAAATATGTGTTTTAACTTCAGGCTTTTGAAGCACATAGCTCCACACTCATGGTGGCAGTGGTGTAAGAAGTACTCAGATATTCTACTAAAGCAAAAGTAGAAATACTACGGGGTAAAAATACTCTGTTACAAGTAAAAGTACAAAAGCATTGGTATCAACATATACTTAAAGTACCAAAACTAAAAGTACTCCTTATGCATTATGGCCCTTTTCAGAATCGTATATATATATTGAGTTACTGGGTTACTATAATGATTATTGATGTGTTTTATCACAGTTAGTAAATGTAGAGATCATTTGAATAACTTGATGTCCTGCTGCTGGATATCTTATCCTATAAATATCTGTCAAAGTGTATTTAATCATTGATTTATATTTTGAATGATCTACTAATCTATATCTAACTAGTAAAAGCTGTGAAATGAATGCAGTGGATTAAAAAGTACAATACTGTCTTCTAAAATGTAGTGCAGTAGAAGTATATAGCAGCATAAACTGAGACGTATTGGCATCAAAAAAATAGTTAAAGTACCAAAAGTAAAAGTACTTACTGTGCGTAATGTCTCCTTTTAGAATCATATATATTGCATTACTGGATTATTTCATTCTTTATGCATTCATGTGTCTTTTCCATCCCTAATAAAGTGTAGGGGAAATGGAGACAGTCACACACAACAGTCAGGGTGAAAGTGAACACAAGTTTATTTATTTACACCAAAGAAAATGCCAACAAATGTTCTTTAAGTGAGGAGACAAAGAAGATTGTGCCAAATTAAATAAATGAATATAAAAAAACTCTAACAAAAAGCCCTCACTATCTGTTCTACTAACAAGGAGACAAAACAACTACAGGGTGCAACAATCTACTAACCTAGTGTGTCTATCAGAGTTTACCTACGTGAGGAGAGGTAGAGGGTACCCCAAACTTACCCAAATCCTCCACTTCCCACCACACACACATTTAACAATACTAAAAACAAGAAGACAGAATAATGACCAAATCTCTCAGAGACCACAAAGAGGCTCTGGAGTCAGCAGCAGGTCTGAGAGAGCGAAGGCTTCCTGGATCGCCTCCTTTAATGACCGGCCCTGGCTACCTTCTTATATGGAAATAAAACACTAATAGAAAAATATAATGTCTTTGATAATTCACTATAACTAAGTTCTAAATGTGTCCTCTGTTAAGATGTTGAATTAACACCAGAATTGAATAAATTAATACATTATTTCTGATAGCAGTATGTGAAATTATATCTGTAGCTATATTATAAACTCTACTTGTATCTTATCAGTTAATTAGTTACAAAAATACATTTAACTCTTCCCTGGTTCTGGCAGAAACAGTTCTTTCTGACATGTTTTGGGACATTTGGATGTATCCCTTTTAGTATGATAATTAGCCTGTTAGCATTATCCAGACAGCATTGTGTGACTTGTTGAACTGGTTTACCTGCATGTGTGGGTGTAGGCATTCCTTTTAGTGTGATAATAGGCTAAGCCAGACAGAATGAACACTTGTTCAACCTGCCTATCTATTCCTTCAGGTAATCTATTACAATATAATAAGCATATGTATTATTGATACATATTTATTAATGACTTTTTCCATTTCAGAATGCCAGCAGCAAAGAGAGGTCCTGGATTCAGTGTGCAGGATGTGATCCAAAAAGGAGGAAGTGATTTGAGATGGAATCAGAGGACACTGCTATGAGTGAAGAAGAGGCAGATGAAGATGCCTGTGGACAAAGAAAAGCAACAACAATCCATCCCTCACATACTTATGTATATATAATAACTTGCTTTATATTTGGCTTTTGTTATTGTTCATTTGTAAATTCAACATGTATATTTTCTACTTTCTTGTTTATTTCTAGTCTTTTTTCATTTGTATTGTATGCCATGTCTTTTATGCTGCTGCAACACAACAATGTCCCAAATTGAGATCAATAAAGTTCTATCTTATCTCTTATCTGAACCCAATGGCCGCCCAGTCAGTGATTATGTGGACATCGAGCCCCAACCAAATAAACACACCAAGCCCCGTGACAGGTATCGCTGGCTGAACAAAGATTTGATCAGTCCCAATACTGATTTTTTCTTTTGAGTAATAAATCAGAATTCTTACTTAAATCTCAGATCTATGAAAACAAATCCTGAAGGTTTTCATGAAAATAAATAAAATATATTTGAACAAGACCAGGCCCAGAGAAGTGATATAATAAGGAAGCAGTCACACTGGGCTAATACACACTGCATGTAAACGACAAATGTGAAGACAAATCACAAATGTGACTCAGTAATGGCTAATACACAGTTACCGATGGCTCATTTGACCCCTACAGAATGTACTTAAATTGACAATATAAAATAGATTACAACGACAGACGATCAATACTCAAAGTCCCCGTCTGTATGGAATGCACCCTCGAAGAAATCTGATCAGACTGAGACAGCTCTTCATCCTGAGCTGCAGAAAAGTCTCCTTTGCTTTCAGAAAAGTCCACTTTGAACGAGTGCTGCACCACTACTGGGCTCTTCACATCCTCCATGACAGGAGAGGAGAGGGGGTGAAGCTGCCATGGTGCTCCTGTGCACATGAGACAGTCCTCAGATTGAGAAGAAGGAGGGGGGGGGCTCAGGTGCTGGAGGTCCAAACGTGCATCTGTTTGGCGATCTGCAGCACGAAGACGATGTCCGGCCGCTGGTCTGGCTCCGGGTTGATGCACATGCTGACCAGCTCCCTCAGCTGTAGGAAAGAAGGGCTTCATTAGCTTAAAGGAGACGGATATTCTGCAGTTTCTTGGTCAACAAATCCCACGAAAAGACACAACAACAATGTGGTAATCGGCCCTTTAGGTTCATTGATTTCCTACAGCCAAGTAACATTTGATCAAGGAGGAGAAATTGCATTTGTTGTCTGTATTAATGATTCCTCATCTACCTTCTCAGAGTGATGGTCCGGAGGGAGGGGGGGGTAATCACACTTCTCGATCTTCTGGCAGAGGGAGAGCAGGTTCATCTTGTCCCCATAAAACGGACTCTGCAGCGCTGCCATCTGCAGAAACAAGTGGAAGACAGGCTGGATGAGAGACATTCCTGGTGAAGACTTTAAACCAACACGATGAAGAAGAGGTGATCGATCAGTCGCTGCTGACAGAGCGCAGACGTCCACTCTTTGGGGGATTGAAAAGGAGCTTGAAGACTGCAAGCTGCCCTGCATGTATTGTGACTTTCCTGGGACTGATGCTAGGCCCACTACATTTCATTATACCTGAAGAGCTCCCTTTCCATCATCGTCTAAAGCAGGCCATACGTACTATATGTGAATATGTATTAACCTCAGCTGTAGTGTAAAAGGGTTAGGGTTCAAAGTGCTTGAATATCACGTTGGAAAAGGTGTACAAATCTTTAAAAAAACAAGTAACAGTGTATGTGAGCTTACCTCATACAGAAGACATCCCAGAGACCAGATATCAGACTTAAAATTGTATCCGTTCTCGTGGATCCTCTCCGGCGACATGTAGTAAGGAGTCCCCACTGGGAGAAAGAGAGTTAAGATGTTCAGGAAATCAATTGATCATTGCTGTGAGACGATCACAGAAAACACACAGATCTAATGCTGTTTTTTAAATGTATTCTGTGTATCGAATCCATGTATATGAATATGTATGTATGCATGTTCTGTATTTACATGTTCTGTCTGTTCCTTACCTAAGGAGTGTGCCGCCGTGGTTTTGGAGCTGAAGAAGCGTCCTAATCCCAGGTCACCCAGCTTCACCTCACCTGTGGCCGTGATGAACACGTTGGCTGGCTTTATATCTGACACACACACACACACACACACACACACACACACACACACACACACACACACACACACACACACACACACACACACACACACACACACACACACACACACACACACACACACACACACACACACACACACACACACACACACACACACACACACACACATTGAAATGTAATGGCAAAGCTGATAAAATCATTGCACGCTGTAGAGAAATGTACACTATGTCAAGTACACATTCCTTCCTGTGTTTAAATATTGATTGTACAATAAGAACAAAAGTACGAATAAATAGATCAAGTTTTTAGCCGCTGATACCAATATGCAATTGCTGATGATCCATAATGAGGTTTTCTGATGGCTTTCATTCGAGCAGCTTGTGCATTTAT